GGAACCAGCCTGGAGCCTAGGCCACGACCACTTCCTGACAGGCTGCCAGCGCTGCTGCAGCCCAGACCAAGGCAGAGCCAGTGGGGCAGAGCCAGTGGCGAGCACAGCCGAGCCTTAGCTTCATCAAGGCTTCCTGTCGCTGGCAGCTGTGTGATCCCTGAGTCCAGGGACCTGGTGCAAGAGGGCTGCTGGGAGGCTGCTGGATAGGGAACGGGTAGTGGGTGAGGAAGGGGAGGTTCACCAGGGCTCTCGTAGGTGGGCACAGAGCAATGGAGGACTCACTTAGCTTGACTCACCCTGGTCCATTTTTAGGCCTCCTGAGGTTGTGGTCAAAAGTCCCGCCTGAGCACCTCCACATTTGAATGGCCCCAAGCAAGGTATTTTATCCTCTTTAGACCTTAGTTGCCTGATGTTTGCAGGAAAGAGAAGCATCCCACCCTGCCTCACCTCTGGGAGCACCCTGAAGGCTCCACCGGGTAAGAGAGATGGAGGGACAAAGTGTCCTACAGGACCATTAGCAGGCATTGTGTATGCCCTTTCTCCCCTCCAGCATTCATTCCTAAGGGAGCAAGGACCAGAATGATTTATGCTCTTTTCGTAGATGAGGACACTGAGGCCCAGAGAAAAGTCATGAAGGGAGTTGAGTCAGGATGTCCTAAACCAGTCCAGAGCCTGAGGTCTCCAAGATGAAATGGTTCTTATGGACACCAGGGATGCTGAACCAGGGTCACTACCTTCCTCTACCTGCCCCAATCACAGGGTCAAGTCCAAGTCCCTTATCCACCAGGACACCCACTCCAGCTTCTATACCCCTTTGAGGACACACCCTCCAAACAGTCCTGGGTCCCTCAGCCTGGAATCCCAGTGGGAAAGCCAGTCGACGTCCCACATTCCCCAAGGCCACAGGGCCATTCCTAACCCCCACCTCGAGAGAATCTTGCAGTAGCAACACGAACCTCAGTGTCGGAAGCAGATAGACCTGAGGTGTGATCTCAGCCACTTATGTGGACCTGCGAAGCCGCTCCCCCTCAGGAGCCTCCACCTTCTATACACGAGGGATATGACAGCTCAGTGTGGGTCATGGTGCTGGGCAACGAGGGCTGTAACGCACCTGACACTTAGCAGGAGCTCAGTGAAATGTGGCTGCCATCCTTCCCACCAGGCCCCGGAGCTCCCCATCTCCTTCCCTTCTCACCAGCCTGAACACACAAGATCCCCTCTCTCCCCATTTTCAAAGGCAAACATTAATCCGTTATCTGCTCTCCGCAGGGAGTACCAGGCCGGCCACTCTAGGTGATAGAATGACAAGACCGTGCCCTGCCCTCAGGTGCCCACCTGCCTGCACTCTTTGCTAGTCTCACCAGGCACCGTCGACCTGTCTCCGCCTGTCTCCACCCCTGCAGCCAGTCCTCCAGCCGACCTCTCACCATGGCAGCCCTGATCGCCGAGAACTTCCGCTTTCTATCGCTTTTCTTCAAGAGCAAGGACGTGATGATTTTCAATGGGCTGGTGGCACTGGGCACGGTGGGCAGCCAGGAGCTGTTCTCTGTGGTGGCTTTCCACTGCCCTTGTTCACCTGCCAGGAACTACCTGTACGGGCTGACGGCCATCGGTGTGCCCGCCCTAGCACTCTTCATCATCGGCGTCATCCTCAACAACCACACCTGGAACCTCGTTACCGAGTGCCAGTACCGGAGAACCAAGAACTGCTCGGCTGCCCCCACCTTCCTCCTCCTGAGCTCCATCCTGGGCCGCGCGGCTGTGGCCCCCATCACCTGGTCTGTCATCTCCCTGCTGCGCGGTGAGGCCTATGTCTGTGCTCTCAGCGAGTTTGTGGACCCCTCCTCGCTCACAGCCGGGGGAGAGGGCTTCCCGCGAGACCATGCCACAGAAATCCTGGCCAGGTTCCCTTGCGGGGAGGGCCCCGCCAACCTGTCAGGCTTCCGGGAGGAGGTCAGTCGCAGGCTCAAGTATGAGTCCCAGGTAAGGTGTGCAAAGGAAAGCGCCCCTTTTTTCTCCTTTTGGTGGTGGCTGGCGGGGGGGGGGGGGGGTGTCGGATGGCTCCGTGCTAGAGCTGGAGTTGGTCCCCAGGGGCCAAGGTCTCCAGGAAAGCACTAATCAGCATCAGGTATCAGAGCTGGGTAACCCCATGGGTTAGTGTCTGGTGGGACAAAGGTCAATTCAGTCACAAATACGTTTTTAATGTTAAAGGAAATGTTCTGGCTCAGACTGAGCCTTGATCCCAGTCATGGATTAAGCCCCTTACTCCAGCCAGATGGAGCACAAATCCTGCAAGCCTATGAAATATTTGCTATGGGTCATGAGCTGATAGTGGGGTGTGGCTGGCTCCAGGGACCAGAATGTTCCTATCCCAGGAAGGCCGGGGCCAGCAATGAATTAGCCTCAGGCACTGCTGACATATGGCAGTCTTTTGACCCAGGAAGCTGCTGCCCTACTTCTAGCCTCAGCCTTGGCTTAGTCCTGAGGGAGTGAAGGTTGGTCAGAGGACAGAAGAGCAGAGACCTGGGCAGAAACAGAAAAACTGAGCTGGAAGCATTGACTTAGAGAAACAGGGAGCGAGGAACAGATAGGGAAGAGCATAAGATTCTTTATAAGGTCTCTCAGGTACGTAAGCAACAGAAACAGAGAAGCAGGGTTGGAGACGCACCAAAGAGATGGGAGATGAAAGACACAGAAATAAAATTTGATGATCAAAAGCCCACAGATCTCTCTAGAGGAGCAAATGGGGAAATAGGCTCACACCCAAGCAAGTGTTTGAGAGAAGCACATGGGCATTTTCAAAACGAGGCAGAGAGTAAGGACCAGGCCATGGGGGAGGTAGGGAAGGCAAGAGGTGGCATCTGGGCTGTGCCGGGCAGTTTGACCTGGATTTTGATGGGCTGAAATGACATAAGGGAGGGGGGTAAACCTTGGGGCTAAAGAAAAGGCAGCAGAGCCCGGCCAGTGTGGCTCAGTGGTTGAGCACTGACTTATGGACCAAGAGGTCAGAGTTGTTGTTTTTTTAAATATATTTTATTGATTTTTTACAGAGAGGAAGGGAGAGGGATAGAGAGTTAGAAACATCGATGAGAGAGAAGCATCGATCAGCTGCCTCCTGCACACCCCCTACTGGGGATGTGCCCGCAACCAAGGTACATGCCCTTGACCGGAATCGAACCTGAGACCCTTCAGTCCGCAGGCCGATGCTCTATCCACTGAGCCAAACCAGTCAGGGCAAGAGGTCACAGTTTGATTCCTGGTCAGGGCACATGCCCAGGTTGCTGGTTCAATCCCCAGTAGGGGGTGTGCAGAAGGCAGCCAACTGATACTTTCTCATCATTGATGTTCCTATTTCTTTCTCCCTTTCTCTTCCTCTCTGAAATCAATAAAAAAAAAAATTTTTTTTTTTTTAAAAGGAAAAGAAATGGCAGCAGAAAATGCGGGAGGCAAAGTCTAAGAAACTGTGAATTCGAAAGAGTAAGGGAAAAAAGGTGCAATTATAACCAGAAGGGCCTGCTTCCCTTACAGAAGCAGAATCTTCATTCAGGGAAGTGAGGGCCAGTTCTGAGGGGGTTCTGAGGCCCAGGTTCAGCCCAGCCCAGCCCAGCCCCTATCTCAACCTGGGCGGGTGGGGGGTCCAGACAGCAACTTGCCCTCCTCACCCTGCCCCTTCTCTGGCCAGCTCTTTGGGTGGCTGCTCATAGGTGTGGTGGCCGTCCTGGTGTTCCTGACCAAGTGCCTCAAGCATTACTGCTCACCACTCAGCTACCGCCAGGAGGCCTACTGGACGCAGTACCGCAACAACGAGGAGCAGCTCTTCCAGCGCACCGCCGAGGTGCACTCCAGGGTGCTGGCCGCCAACAACGTGCGCCGCTTCTTCGGCTTCGTGGCCCTCGACAAGGACGATGAGGAGCTGGTAGCCAAGTTCCCCGTGGGAGGCACACAGCCGCGGCCGCAGTGGAACGCCATCACTGGCGTCTATCTGTACCGTGAGAACCAGGGCCTCCCCCTCTACAGCCGCCTGCACAAGTGGGCCCAGGGGCTGCCAGGCAACGGCACAGCCCCGGACAACATGGAGATGGCCCTGCTTGTCTCCTAAGGTTCCTGTTCCCACACTCTTTGCAAATGACAATCCTTGGTCCAACACTGAACCCCACTGTCTGCTCACATCAGCATCAGGTTTGTTTTTTCTTTTAACCATAGCTTTTTGGGAAAACAGACCAAGAGAAAGAAACAAAAGTAATCTGGGTACAGAGGAGAGAGCTAATGCACAATGTGGTCAGCGTGACAGGAAGGCTCTCTGACCTGAAGAAATCCCCTCTCGTACTGCCATCAGCCACCTGGTCAACAGCTTGGGAGGGAAGACTCGTACTCAGAACTGGTCCTTAATCAGCTATGCTGTGGAGGACCTTTTACTGGTGGGCTCCAAGGCTGAGAAGCCCTGGCCAGCACAGCGAGGGGACAGTGAAACCTGCCAGCAGGCTCACTGTATAGGATATTGTGCAGTTAATTTGTGTCTAACTGCTTATGGACAACCCGCTCAGCGGTGCTCAGCTGGGAAGCTGCCCTTCGATGCATGCCACTGGCTTTGTTTTATATATTTACATTTTTGATAAAGCTTTTCTAAGTATAAAGGACTAGCTTGCTGTCTATGTGATTGGATGGGACATGCCACAGCAGATCGGTGATCATGGGGACAGGCCTAAATCCCATCTCCTATGAGAGGGAAGGGGACAGGGAGACCCTGGGCAGGGCTCAAATAGACAGGAGGGAGGGCAGGTGCTCCCACAGGAGGGAAAGCTCTGGGGCTGATGACCCCTTAGCAGCTGGATTCAGGTATCTCACTTGATCTGGAGGAACAGAGGGAGCTTGGTCTCCCCCGGAGGGAAGCTCAGCTTAAATTTCTTGGGTCAGAAGATCCTGCACTCAGTAGGGAAGACCAGCTCTCACAGCCCAGCCCTGGCTCCTCCTCCCTCCCACGCTCACCTTGCCCGATTGCCTCCACCACCTCGGAAACCTTTGATGCCCTCCCTGGTCCTGGCCCTGCTTCCTGGCACATGACTCAGTCATTGCCCATGGAAAAGCTCCCTAGCTCTCGGGACATTTAAAACTCTGCCAAAGAAAACGATTCACTCTCTCAAGACCAAGCCAAAAAAGAACTGGCTTTAACAACTAGCTGGGTCTGTGCTGGCCTCCAAGATCTCTGGACCGTACGAGATCATTACTTATCAAACGATGCAGAGAGACTGTCTTTCTGGGAATTTTATGAGGGAGGCCTGGGCCCATCACATCGCCTCTCCCTCAGGACTCAAGGAATAACCATCAAGTCAGTCAATGCCCTGCGCCCAGCAATCATTCTCCCAGAGGAGCTAGAAGGGGGCTCTCCCCAGAGCCACACAGCACGCCAGTATAGGTCCTCACCGAGACTCCTGCCTGCCAGGCAGCATACGACATACATGCTCTCACTTCATCCACAAAACCCTGCAAGGTAGGACTTTTTAGCCCCATTTTACAATGAGACCCCCATTTGGAGAGGCTGGGTCACCGGGCCCTGGTGGGCTGAGAGGTGACATTACCAGGTGGCTTTCCTCTCAGGTGCCTCAATTTTCCTTCCTGGGCTCTATCTTTGTCCTTCCATCCCAACCCACAGCCTCCACAAAAGGGTACAAGGCTGAGCTGAGGCTAACAGAATGCCCAGAGACTCCAGGACCTAAAGGAGGGGCCTACTTCCTGGACCCTGCTGACCCCTCTGGCTATACAAAGAGCCTGCCAGGGCCAAAGATGGTCAGGAGTCAGCCGTCCACTCCTGCTCTTGGGAACTCCCATGAAGGAGAAACCGGAGCAGTCTCAGAAAAGGAGAAAAACGAAATTGGTACTTAAAGTAAAAAAAGGAATTTATAAGAAATGCCTTTTTATCCTAACAGGATTGTCCCAAAGTTGCTGCAGAAAAAGCAGCACATAAATAGAGTCCTCAGGCAACACAGTTGCCAACTGCCGGGTGCCTGAGGTTTGGGTGGGCTGGGCCCTGCTGCAGGGGCTGTCCGGAGCCAGCCTGCAGCTAGTCCTCCAACACAGAGCTCTTAGCCTCCACGTAGTCCAGGGCCTTCGCCTTCACTGCCTGCACGTCCTTCTCGGTGCCGTGTTGCTTCTCATAGTCCAGGTAGCGCTTGAAGAAGAATTTCATTCGCTTGGGGGCCAGACTCAGGTGAATGACGCGCTCGAATATGTCCCTGTGAGGAAAGCAGGGCAGCATTTGCCTCTCGGTCCCCCGCCACTCGACTCCTGGCTAACCTTCCCCACTTGTTCTTAGGCTCTGGAGCAGGCCCTCTGTCACCCAGCACTCCCACTTCTAGCTTCATTTTTACTACCAACATCCACTCCCATCATGTCTACTGGGAGAGCGAGAGAATACCACCCTTCCCGTCCAGGTGAGCAGACAGACACCCAGAGATGTTAAAGGACTTACTGGCCTAAAGTTACACAGTAAATCAGGACAAAGCTACTGGGAGGGAACACACATGAGACATGCATCTGTGAGAAAAGCTCTGCTTAAAGCTCACTGGCGGGCTGAGGGGAGGCACTAGTTCAGCCGTGGGCAAACTACGGCCCGCGGGCCGGATCCGGCCCGTTTGAAACCCTTTTGAAATGAATAAAACTAAAAAAAAAAAGACCGTACCCTTTTATGTAATGATGTTTACTTTGAATTTATATTAGTTCACACAAACACTCCATCCATGCTTTTGTTCCGGCCCTCCGGTCCAGTTTAAGAACCCATTGTGGCCCTCGAGTCAAAAAGTTTACCCACCCCTGCACTAGTTCTTTCTGGAACTTAGTCTACCCATCTCCAATCCTCCCTGCCTGTGGGGATGCCGGCGGACAACAGTGAGTTATGCTGTGGGGATGCCAGCGGACAACAGTGAGTTATGCCTGTGAACATTCTCTACAGTGAGAGTCAGGCACAGTGTTAATTATGAGGGAAACCCAAGTCTCCGGACCCCAGGAGAGTGGCCAGCCTACCTCCCACCCAAGGTTCCAGATACCGCCAGAGGCTGGCCCGAGGCAGGAAAAGACATTGGAAAAGTGAATGCCATAGGACCTGCCGTGTCAGGTCAAAGCTGTTTTTCCAGACAGAGTAACACAACTGGGGATGCTGGAGCTACTGTGGGTGCTAAAGTCATCTGCTCAGCCAATGTCCCCAACCCCCACGGGGAATTCAGCCCCGATCTGTCTGCCCCTCTCACCGGACTTCCTTCTGGCTGCCATGCTTGATGGTCATGTCGATGTAGACCGACCAGACATCCGTGCGCTTTGGGTAGGTGCTCAGTGTGTTCTCAAAAATAGCCTTGGCCCGCTCTGCATCCCCCAGCTGGAACTCCAGCTGGGCGAACTTGGAGATCACATCCACGTCTGCAGGGAGAGGACACTCAGACACACAACCAGGCAGAGCCCGCACCACAACACAATGTGCCACAGGGACTGAGTCTGACTCCTGACTCCCTGCTCGTGTCCCAAGACACAGGTAGCGACAAGAGGGTCAGTGGGGTAGATTAGGGCCACATACACAGATGGGCACTGACCTATGACTCCCACCGCAGACACCCTACTCTCCGGGGGCAAGGGCAACAGAATTAGTGCTAACTGCAACACGCATTACATGCAAGAGCATACAATCAATAGACAGACAGACAGGTATGTAACCACCACGAGGCTTCCTGCCACCACCCTCAGATGAGGGGACCCATAACTCCTGTGCTCAGATGTGGGCGAGCCCAATGTGCTCAGGAATCGGGCCGAAAGTGGGCTGGGCACTCACGCTCTTTTTGAGGCAGGCACTCGAGGGCTCGCTGCATCACACGGTGACTGGCCCCAGCCTGGCCCCTCCGCAGAAGGAAGGCCCCATATTTGACCCAGACAGCTTTCTCCTGCCGGAAACGCTTCAGCATCCGGTTGTAGAGTTCACCAGCTTCCTGTGGGAAAGACCAGGCAAGCTGGGGAAGGTGATGTGACAGAGCGGGGGCAACAATAAAGATGGGCAGCTCCCCTGTGAGAAGCCAGACGGGCTCACAGACGCCAACTGCTATGCAGGCCCAATTCTAGCTACTGAGGGGAGGGCAGGCTCCCAGAGATGAGGAGGCCTGACAAGATGGAGTCTCCCTACTAATCCTATGGCACGCAGAGGTCGTAAGACTAGAACAGGATCCAGAACATGGGGATTCTTCCCTGCTGCCTCCGTGACCCCCAGGAGACAGGTTGAGTGGCTGGGGACCCTCTGGCAGCAGGCCACCAGGCCCAGACTCCTACCTGGAACTTCTCAGACTTGGTGTAGATGTCAGCCAGCTGGAGAAAGACCTTGAGAGGCTCATTGTATTGCACGGCCCGCTCGAAGACCTTGGTCAGTGACTCCTGAGACCCGTACATGTTCTCGAGGTTCAGCAGTGCCACCCACACATTCAGCTTCTCCTGCTCCTCTCTGGAGGGAGAGCAGTCGGTGCATGAGCTCCATCATCTCAGCCCAAAGAGCCCTTCACTCCCCTCCGGGGATGTCGACTGGAACTCTATCCTCCTCCCCAGGTTCCAACCATGTCCTCAGCTCCCACCCTCAAGCGCAGGCACTGAGAGGCCCTGTCCCACTGCAGTTCACAGCAGCAGGAAGCCCCACCCTGACTGCGGGGCCTGGGGCTCCCAAACGGAGGCTCTACCTCCATTCCCAGGAAGGAAGCCTACCAGGTCTCAATCAGGCCTGAGGTCTGAGCTGGAAGGAGCAGAATCTCTGGTCTGCTTCTCTCCCCAAACTAAGAGAATGAAAGTAAAGGTTCACCACTCCTCCTTCATCAGCCTCAGGGCACTCACTCTACCCTCTGCCTGGAAAATGGCCACACGCAGAGTTTTCTCCCAGGTATGTGGAAAGCTGTGTTCCCTATTCTACTTCTGCTCCAAGTTGGGCACATTATTTAAGTCTCCAACTTAACAGTGAAAAGGACTATAAATTATAGATGAGCAGATCTATTTCACAGATGGCACATCTAAGAGGAGTCCAGGAACCCCAGGTGGCAGCCACTCCAACTGCTGTCAGACTGCAACCTGGGGAGACAAGGCCCTTCCTGTCCAAAGGCCCCTCCCTAAAGCAGGGAGACGAAGCCCAGACCTGAAGGAGATGGTCTTGAGAGCCCTCTCGGCCACAGCCCGAGCCTTCTCGATCTCTGTGGCCTGCAGGTGGAAGGCCATGTACTGCAGCCACAGGATGGAGCTGTTGGGGGAGCTCAGCACCAGTCGGTCAAAATCATCTGCTGACTCTGGCTGTCGCCCAGGGTCCATCAGCGCCTCCTCCATGCGGGACAGCTCTTTCTCTGCCTTCTGCTTCTCCAGCTCCCTTTCCTTCTTGCTTTTCTTCTTCTGCTATGAAAGGCCAAAACAAGTGAGTAATCAGCTCCTCAGACCCTGGGCAGGTCTGTGATAGAAGCCAAGAGTCGGCAGGGCAATCCCCAAGCTCTATAAATACTCCCTAGCCCGAGACCGCCCCACCCTGCCGGAAGAGACACCCACAGGCTAGGACAGACACAGGAGACTGGCACCAAGGGGTCCCTGCAAAATACGACACCGTGGTTTGCTGTGGCTTCTCGTCTTCCTCACTGTCTGAGCTCTCTCTTCGAGGTGGCAAGGCCGGGGTCAGAGATTCTAGCCCCACGTCCCAAACGAAGCCGGAAGACAGCTGCAGCCGGGGCACCTCTGCTGGCCTGGTCTGCTTCCCCTGGAGGAGCATGGAGGTGTGTGAGGAAGGCACTCGGCTCAGGCTGCTCCCTGTTCCCCAGCCCCATCTCGCCCGGAGGAGCAGGACTCCCACCATGCCCTCCTTCCAGGGCCAAACCCAGTCCACCCGGGAAATTTACAGTAGTGACAAAAAACTTCCTTTGCAAATAAATTCATTTGGGTGACACATTTTTAAATATATGTATGCATATATATGTGTGTCACACACATATAAAATAACACATGTATAAAGTAACAGTCAAGCTAGGACAGACATGATAAATGTTCTGAGGGTGGCAGAGACCCGATAGCTAAAGTCTGGGAAGCCCTTCCACACCCGGTCCTCAGTTCAAGTAGCACTGCTCTGACTTTTCAGAGGGGAACTCGGGCTCGGGAACACCACGCCGCCTCTTTACCTGCCCACCCCACTAATCTAATTCAGTTCCACCTAATAAATTAGAATTTAATCTGATTACAATTTATTTTATGCAACACATCCTATGGGTAAGGCAGGGTCCCTATTCCCCAGGGAGCTGATGACCAACTAAAGAAACCAGCAGCCCCATCTCTTCATATCTTACAGGAAACAAGAAAGAGGATGATGCCAAAAAGAACCCAGCTCTTCGGCAGGAGTCCAGGTCTCCCCTCCCCAGAGCAGCCTCCTCCTCACCTTGGGCAGCACACTGATCTCTTCCATCTCCTCTTCTCCTTCCCGATAATACACTTCAACTCCACTGTCGTCCTCCTCGGTCGGAGCAGCCCTCTTCTGCTTCTTGCTTGCCCTTTCCTGAGACGAAGGCAGGAAAATGCCGAGCCGCCCTACTTGCCCAGGAGCACTCTTGGGCAGCCCAGGGCAATGTCCCCCCATCCCCTGTCCCTCCTGGCACCCCCCAGTGCCCAGCCTCCAAACTCACACTAATCTGGGTCCGAGAGAAGGCGAGGCAGCTTCCCCCTGGCTTCTGAATCGCTCTCCTTGTCATACGTGGGGAGGCCATCCCCCCTGGGGACGTACCTGTTCACTTGCCGACTCCCGATGTGGCCGCTTGCCCTGCTTCTCTGCGTGTGGTTTCTGGGGC